TAAGTCTCAGTTCAAATACTAGTGAGGACACTATCAGCATGGAGTATGTACATCCCCCTATATCTGCCAACCATAGCCACAGCCCTTTAAATCTGAAGGCCCGGGAGGTGGTCGCCCTCCCAGCGGGGGCCTCCTCTGAACTGCGTGGGGTCGTCTAGAAGTGGAGTTCCACTTTAACAGGCTGAGCTGGCCGACGGATCACCTAAAACTCCAAACTCTCCGCACTGACTGACGGGCGACACCGTACCGGACTCTACCCCCGGGATTGTACCGGAGCGACCCGTCTCAGGATCTACAGAACCGGAGCAGGTAAGAATCTGCAATGCACACCGCTGAGCCGGGAGAGATTTTCCTCAATTACAGATCGGCCTCATCGGTCGCCTCCAACCCGAGAGAGAGGGAGTGCGGGGGATCACTAGTCCTGGCCAGAGGCTGGCTGGGCAATGCTGGGACTTGTGGTACATCAGTAGGTACCGGCCTCACGTACATGCCCGGACTCTCCCCTCCCCCGCCTTTATGGCCGATCCTCTGAGCCGAGGCAAAAGCCAAAGCTGGCCGAAGGGCCGGCCATTGGCCAGCCGACAGCCTGCTACTGACAGCTGAGTGGAGTCAGCCGTCATCTCACCACTTGCAGAGACAGATCAGTTGCAAAGACTCCAGCCACTTGCAGAGACAGATCAGCGTCCCCTGGATACCTGGTAACCAGGGGATGCTGATCTGTCAGTACCATGAGAACTCAGTAGAGTCGGCTTTGATACCACCACCGGCTCTGCCGAGCTCTCATTGTAATGACAGCTGGTCCCGGCCAATAGAAAACAGTTGGGCGGAGCTAGCTGTCACTGCTAGCTCCGCCCAATCATTTTCTCTTTTTTAAATACTTTTTTTAACTGTTTTTCTATTCTGCTCGGTACCACAGAAGGTACAGAGCAGAATAGCCGAGCCGAATGCTGCTTGGTGTCATTCGGCTATTTACTCACTGCTGTTCGGCCCCTATGAGAATAGGCCTGAACAGCAGCGAGTAGCCTGCCGGAGGTTCGGCTCAGCTGATCCACATGTTGGATCGGCTGAGTCAAACTCCTTCTGCACTTCGGGTCAGCCGAACTTGCTGAGCATGTTCGGCCGACCCAAAGCCATCCGCAGCAAGCCGATGTACGGCTTATTTTAGTCGGTGTGCGGCAAAATTAGCCGTACCAGCCTGAAGTGAATAGCCGAACAGTGTTCGGCTCACTTCACTTCGGGTCGTTACTCACTCGGCTGCCTTCGGCAGCTTTGTGAATAACCTCCTTAGTTTTAATTGTTGTTGGTCAGATGGGGTAAAGGTAAATTGTACTGGTGGATGGAGAGGCAAGAGTAGGTCCCTTTATAGGAGAGGTTATGTGTTATGAAATGTATTCATGGTTATATATTAATGTGAAAAGATAATGTTAGAGCGGATGTGTATGGAAATTCAAGAAAATATTCCCTTGATTTTGTATTATTTAATCTTGGAAAATTTATAAAAATGTATAAACCATAGATCTATACTCACACAAAAAGGTTAAAAAAGGGGAAAAAAACTAACATAAAAATCAAAAAAGGGGCAGACGTGATTAGCCATTTGTTTTTGTTTTTTCTTTCTTCGCTCTTCTAAAATACAAAAAAATTTAAAAAATCACATTGTGACCTTAAAAATCAACTTAAACACCCTTAATGTTGCCTTTCTTTGGACTCCAATGCAATGGTGAATTTTCAATAAAAGGAATTTTGCCAAAATTGTGGCAGAGTGAAATCAGTCGATTTTGCTTTTAGAAATATGTGGGAATCATTGATCAAATTATTTGTATTATTGTGTTTTTGTGTTGTTATATGTGTATTATCCTTTTTAATCTGTCCAGAATGTTTCATGTTTTGAAATGTTTTGCCGAATTTGTCTTACCAGCTAAACCAACAACAGTGATCAGCAGTACAAGTCTGAGATGAATGAAGTTCCCTTATATAAGGTGAGTCTTTAAATCCTTTGCCTTTGATCCCTTTCCAGGCCGTATTCTGAATCCAATTTTTTTTACAATTCAAATGAGTTCAGGTGATGGACGCTTATCGTAAAATGTCTCATATTCTGATAACCATATCTGGTTGATTCCTGTATTTATAGTATTATTCAGTATATACATTTTTATTTTATCTTATTTCACATTGATTTTATTTATACATATTTTTCCCAACATTTACATCAAAATTTGACAAGAATTTTACTTGCAGATAAATTTTACCCTCACCTTTGAAATAACAAAAAATATATCTTTAGAAATGTTTAGTAATGACAATTGGACATATGTGCACAACAAAAATGTGTGTTTCCAAACGAAACAAATGAAACCAAAAACGTTTTCATTCGTTTCGTCAAAGGAAACAAATTTTTAGGTTGTTTCCAATTCAAAGGCTACGAGCCTTCGAATCCGAAACCGCAAACTAAAACCGCTGGCACTTTCGGCGCATGTACACTGCCATTTTGGCGTAGACCTTGGTGTACACCAAAATGGCGGTGCCCGCTTGTTCGAGCGGCGCCATCTTGGTGTATACCAAAATCTAATCCAAAATGGCAGCGTGCATGCGGAGAACGCGCCGGCGGACGATCTGACCACTGCTCGTTCGGCGTGTGATGTCACCGTCATGTGACATCACACGCTCCGCCTCCAAGATGGCAGCAAGCATGCGCAGAAT